TATATATATTTTTAGCTGTCCAGATAATTTCTTTCTATTTTTAGTAGAGACGGGGTCTCGCTCTTGCTGGTCTCGAACTCCTGACTTTGAGCGATCCACCCGCCTATGTTTAATTTTTTGAGGAACCACCATACTATTTTCCATAGCACTGTACCATTTTACATTCCCACCAACAGTGTACAAGGGTTCAAATTTTGCCGCATCCTCACCAACACCTGTTATTTTCTGTTTTGATAATAGCCATCCTATTGAGTGTGAGGTGGTATCTTACTGTAGTTTTGATTTACATTTCCCTAATGATTAGTGATGTAGAGCATCCTTTCATATTCTTGTTGGCCATTTGTATATCATCTTTGGAGAAATATCTATCAAGTGGGAAGGGTGATCTTTTGAATCTATGAACAGAACTACATTCTGAGGCCTTGTTCTCTTCTTGCATTTTCATTTCTGGTAGATGAAAGGTGCAATCCAATGACATAGAGTCATTGTTGTCTATTGAAACAGTTTCCACAGAAAGCCAGAATGAGAGAACAGGGGATAAACTGTTAATGTCGTTGATTACATACCTCCCAACCAAGAGCTAAGAGTCTCTTATCGGTGAATAGCCTAGAAGAACTACTCTCAGTTTAGTATAGTTTTGATATCCTACTTACAAAAAAGGATTTGAGAACCCTGCATAATGGAAACAGTAGTGATACCATTGATTAAGAAGATAGAAAATAATGGTTTGTGGCTGGGCGTGGTGTCTCATGCCTGTAATTCCAGCATTCTGGGAGGCCGAAGCGGGAGGACTGCTTGAGGCCAGGAGTTCAAGACCAGCCTGAGCAACATAGTGAGACTCCGTCTCTACAAAAAATAGAAAAATTAGCTAGGTATTGTGGCTAGGTGTAGTCCCAGATGCTCAGGAGGCTGAGACAGGAGGATTGCTTGAGCCCAGGAGTTTGAGGTTGCAATGAGCTATGATGTCACCACTGCACTTCAGCCAAGGCAACAGAGCAAGACCCTGTCTCAATAAAAAAAAGAAAAGAAAAGAATGGTTTGTGGAAGACATATATTGAGTGGAAGACATATATTGATAGACCTCCTAGAGAGGCCTTTCCTAACACCCTGAGTGTTGCTAGCCCCACACCCCAGTCACTTTTTATTACATGTATCTGTTTTAGAGTCTTTATAGTCCCTATCATCAACTTTCTTTTTCCTTGGCTTGCTTACTAGCCTGTCTCCACATACAGTGTAAGCTGCATGGGTGCAAGGATCTTATTACTCTCGTTTAGATGTAGCTACAAGTGCTTGGCACTGTCACAAATACTGATAAAATGTGCTGAATTAGCGAATAAATAAAGCAACTTAATTATGACATTATATTCTCTCTGTATCCATTAATTGTATCTCCATTACCTCAATTTCCTGATGTTTGTACATAAGCACAATGAAGAAGAACAACAGGAAGCCCACCGCAAGGATCGATGTGCAGAATGCCCTCTGTGTCTCACATGCCCATGGGCCAGGAGATCTTCAAAATATGCTGGATGGAGGAGAGTATGCTCTTTTTGTATCCCCTCCCATGTTAGAGAGCAATTTTATCCAGGTAAATAATACTTGAGAACTGAATTAAGTTCCAATAACATCAGTAATTAATTTTCTTAAAGACAGCTGAAAAGGTTGGGAGAATTGTTTTAAGTGTGCCGAGGAAATGTGTGATTCCATTAAAGGGAACAGTTTTGGAACTTTAAACAACCCAAAATAGTTACACAACATTAAAGCACATTCACTCCAAATGTTCCCAACAAACTCTTACAAAGGAATTCTGTCTTAATTCTACCATATTTATCATTCTATCATAAACTTCCCAAAATTACATGAAGTGATTTTTAGAATATCCTGCCACAGGAAAGCATATGAAAACTTTCTTAGACTTAGAAGACATGTTAAAGAACAACATCTGTAACACAACTAGGAATTAAAATGAATCTTAGCTGTTAGTTTTGAAAGTAAAATTTAATTGTCAGATAGTGTCAGGGAGAAAAGCTTCCTTCTCAGAAGAATGTACCTACGTTATGAATGAAACTGCATTTCAACATATTTGGGAGCAGTGCTAACTTTCTTCTAAACATTCAACATTAAAAAATTCAGACAAAGAAATGGGAAATGCATTCAACGGTATGGGCCATATCTATAAACTTTAGAGAATGCCACAACAAAATCTAACACTGGACACTGAGCTACTGCCTCTAACCCCGACACATTCAAGCAGCCACTCAGCTGATTCCACAGAGGGCTGACAGGGAGGACAACAGGCACTTCTTCAAAAGGTAAGGAAACTTCATCTTCCATAAACGTGTTCAGTACCTGAGCACTAGCATGACTGCCCCACCTCCAGTATACGATAAGGAAGGAGGTGAAGCCGCCAGAAACATCCAATGTTTTAGTGATGGCCCAGAATGCATGTGACAAGTCATGATTTGAGGTACTTTGCCTTCTATATACTTCTTTCCTAATAATAATATTTTTATTTTATTTTTTTACCTTTCTTCCTGTGCCCTTTCCAAATTACACTTTGCACACTCTAATGAAATTACATAGTACTTGCCCTACACTGGGGGAGACAGTTAGCAGGCTATAGATCAGACGTGGCCCCCTATCATAATTTATAAGTCATACCCTTCAAGCTGCACAACTCCACCTGGTTATTATGTCTTTGGTAGCAAGTTACCAGGATTTCTGACTCAACAGGTTTAAAAGAAAAAACAGTGATCTCAAATAGAGTGACAGAGCCCCAGGGCAGACAAGTAGAGGATCCAGTTTTTCTCTTTTTGCTCTGTTGTCCTCAAGCTAGCTTCCCTCTGGACATCACCCCAACAGGACAGTAATGGTTGCCAGCAATAGAAAAGATCTGTCTCATCCTGATGACTCTTTGTGAGGGCTGGGAAACCTTTCCCAGAGCCACCAGGAGACCCCCACTTGTGTCTCACTGGGTCACATGCCCCTGCTGAAATCAGTCACTGGCAAGGGGGGGTGGGACCACCATGACCTGCCTAGGTTAATCAGGATTGAACTCCTAAGCGGCGTCATCATCCCTGAGGCATGGTACTGGATAAAACCAGGATCCTCTTAATCAGGAAGAAGAGGGGCACAGCTTTGGGTGTGTGAACAATAGTGTGGGCTACAACCTCTTTCTGAATATATTTCCTTTCAAGTGTTTTATTTTTTAATTGAACCAGTTACTATACAGCTGAAAAACCACACTGTAGCACCTCTTTGGCTTCCTTCGCATCCCTGTCTGCCCATTCTCTAGTCTCTTCTTCTACCAACTGGCAGAGATTTGGCCAAGATTCTTGTACTTTCGGGTTTTTACACATGCTGTTCCTTGGTCTGGAAACCTTTCCTCTCCACCTGGCCAGTTTACCCCCCACACTGTTCAGGTCTCAGCTAAAGATCCCTTCCTCACGACCCCATATCCAAGAGTATGCTGGAGCTGGCCTATTGGTAAGTGTCCAGGAAATTTGCAAGTCAGCTGTTAAACATACCCATTATTAAAAATTAAATTATATAAACTTACATTTAGATTATATCTAAAACAAGGGCAATAAATATTCAAAACTCATCATTCCTATTCCTTTACTATATTTTACTATTATCTATGCTCCTGACATTATACACACACGAGTTTGACAAAGGCTTGTGAAGTTTTATCAATTGGTTCTTGGAATTTAAACTAAGGAGTATTGTATATTATTTGTAAATTATGTGCTACTCATCTTTTATATCAGTAACATTTTAAATAAACTTATATGTAAATGTGTGTACCTTCCAAGAGCTAGCTGTTAAATGTTTACCAGCACAACATTGCCTATATTCCCATTCTAACTAAGTCAAGTCCCCCATCATGTGTTCCTATAACATCCTGAACTTGTACTTGGTAAAACATCTTACAGTAATAATTAGTTACATGCTTAGATTGTTTAATGTTTGCCTTCCCTGGTAGACCCCACAGGCCAGGGAGTATGTCTGTCTGTTTCCTGTAGTATCTTTAAGAATTAACATGAACCAGTGAAGGAACAAATACACTATGGTTCATTTCTCCTTTATTTCCTGTCCTCCCTTACACTGCTCATGTAAACAAAGTTGTCAGAGCCAAGCATTTTTATCAGATAACTCCTCTTTCCTGTTCTCTACACTCAGGTCAACAGGAGAGGTGAATCCATTTACCTTCATAACCGAGCCAACTGGGTGACTGTAGGCATCTGTTCTTCCAGTTCCACCCACAAAACCCCCAGTGTGATGCTGCTGGCACATCTGACACCCACTGTCGCAAAAGATACAGAACCCCTGTTTAAAAGTCTCCTGACATCTTGTTGTACAGAGAAACTGGTGCTCACCAGGTGAGTTACAAAAGAAGAGATTAAGAAAAGTATGCTTTACCCATGTGGAGCTGAAAATGGAAACACTGATGACAGCTCCCACCGCAAATGACAAAGTATAGTGTCCTTAAAGTTGGACTAAACAATTTATGACAAAGGCAATCAAACAAGCAATCAATTTTTTAAAAGTAAACCTAAGTAACAGGAACTGAAGACTCATAATAAACTGTCTCTCTTGAACATGCCTCCTCTTCCCCCAACATCCTGACTTCTAACAGAATTAGCTCTGGTCTTGTCTCAGCCACTAACTTGTTCTATGATCTTGAGCAGATCACGCAATTTCAAGTCTAAACTTTGTAGGATTAATTAAAACGGACAATTTCTCAAGGCAAATAGTTGGCATTCTGGGTTTTTTTTAGTATATCAGAGTCTTAGACATATACTTAAGATGAGATGGCCCTCAGGAGCCCCTCCCCAGACCTATCCGGGAGACAAGCCTATTATCCTGAGTCTCACTCTTCAAACTGCTATAAAATAGAAAAAGAAAGGCCTTTTTTAGATCTCCAATCAAGTCTCCAGATGATGTCACATTTGTGTTTGTTTGCAGGTTCCTCCCTCTGCAGTTTGTGACTCTTTCTGTGCATGACGCTGAGAACATGCGCCTCAAAGTAAAGCTTGTGAGTGGCCGAGCCTACTACTTACAGCTCTGCGCCCCTGCATATAATCAGGACACCGAATTTTCTCAATGGGTGAACCTCATCTCCCTCTTGAATCAGGAGAAAGCCAAAGTTTCCAAAGTGTCAGAGGTCTCAAGCCTCTCAGAAATCACAAATAGCACAGAAATCACAGGCTCCATAGACATCATGAACATTGCAGCATTCACAGCTGTACGGACCCCATACAGGCATGCATGTACAGACCCTGCACATGTCATGGAGAGCATAGATTTTTCAGAATACACAGACATTACCGACATCACAGATGTCACAGATGTTCCGGAAAATGAGATCACAGAGGTCCCAGATGTAAGAATTGTCACAGAAATCACAGATGTAACGGAAGTCACAGACAACTCTGATGCCACAAATTTCTCAGAGGTTACAGTGGTGTTTGAAAATGATGACATGATAAAGGCCAAGCAAGAGGAAAAGGTACGTGACACAGAAGACTTTCAAGTTTTAATAATCCAGAACTAGAGTGGTAACCCAGATCACAATTCTCAGTCAGCTGACATTGATTATCAAAATGCTATGGAACCTTCTATTATCATTAGAAGATCAGCTTGAGGATATGAATACAATGTAAGGGTTATTTTAATGTTTAAATGTATATAAAAGTACCCAGAACCTTAAAGGATGGGATGTAATTTCAACAGGTAAACTTGAGGGTACAAATAGGAAAATAAAAAAGAAGTGAGTGGCTTAAGAAAAGGCCAGAAAGTGGAAAACCCCAGAGCCATGCCCAGGAATGTTTAGTTCAGTTGGGGTGGGGCATAATATATGTGGAGAATATTAGCATATAGGATTGGAAAGTTTGCAAACCTTAAATGCCAAATTAAGAAGTGTGGACTTCACTCTTTGGACAAACCTTAGCAACCAAAGGCTTCTGTAAGGGAATGAAAGAGCTGTGTTTTTGAAAGCTCAATCTGATGGCAGGGTGGATTGTAGGTAAAGAGATCAGTTTGAGGACTACAGCTGAAAAACTTCCACTAGGTCCACAATAGAGAAATGGCAAAGGGCAAGGATAGACATTTCACAGGAGAAACTGCTTACAAATATAGGAGAAAAAGTTTAACCTTGCTAATAATCAAAGAAATGAGAACTTGCAAAAAAATTTAACCCATGTAACTGTCAATTAGAATAATAAAAACTGCCAGTAAAGGTGTTGTCAACTAGGAATTCACAGAAATTTGTGGTAGGGATAAGAATTGGTACAATCTTTCTTGAAATTATTAGGAATCAAGGACCTTAAAAATGTTTACACCCTTTTACTCAGTGATTCCACTTCTAGGAATCTTTCCTAAGGAATCAATCACAAATAGGAAGGATGATTCAGCTACAAAGATGTTATCCATACCATATTTATGCCATGTTTCTAATAATGAAATAATAAAAGCATAGAAGAAACCTAAACATCCACCACGGAGAAGTGGCTAGATGAATTTAAATTCATGAAGGGCGTGTATCATATTTATCTTGTTCGGGAGCTACCATAGTATCTCGTAAGTTCATAGGCCCTCAGTAAATATTTATTAAATGAATTACTACTCTACAACTATTAAAATTGTTGAAGAACATTTCTTGGCTTATAAAATGTTCACAATAGAAGATTGAAAAATGAAAAGTACAATCTCTATTATATAAAAATACATTTATATACACCAAAAGAAAAAATTCATATTGTGAACAGCAGTTTAGATTGTAGGATTATAGACAATTTATGTCTTATTTATACTTTTCTAAATTCTTCCTACAAAAAAGATAACTAATTTTTAATTAGGAAAACTTCAAGTAGTTTTACATAATTCTTAATGACAGGAGAAAAAAATCTTATAATAAAATGCTAAGTGAAAAAGGGAGGAGACAGAACTTCAATATGATCTCAAAGCAGACATGTACAAGATAAATAGACAAAAAGGTCAGAATGAAATGTGCCATAGGAGTAGTTGTTTCTGGGGAGTGGCATTAGGTATGCAATAATTTTCAACCTTTCACTTTATTCCTTTTAGGATCTTCCAGATGTTCTACAATAAATATGTATGACTTTTATTGTTAGAAAAAAATGAAGTTTTATCTTTAAGGAAGAAGATTATTGCATTATTTTCGAGGAAATGTAAGAGAGATAACAGACTAGGTAGAGGCAGTGGGAAGATGAAGGTGCAGACAAGAAGGGTATTAGAGAGTCAGGTTATAGAGTTTGCTGACAGATTGCTCTGAGGCCAGAGTGAGAGATTCTGAGGTGGTCAGAGAGTGACTAGGAGAGGTGGTACATTAAACAGGAAATTAAGAGAAGATTTTAGGTTATTAAGCTGTAGGTACAGGTTCTAAGTCCTTTGAAAAATGAACTCTTTTGTATTAGTATGAACCCCTAACCCCTGTCACCTATTAGATGCTCTTAATTAAGAGCAACCTCATATTGGGGAGTAGGTGGCAAGGCATTTCTGGAAAACCTTGCCTTGACAGTTCACAGAGAAGTTCTGTAATTAAGTGCTAATTGTCTTGCGTGAGGTGACACTGCTGCACATGTGTTGTGTCAGGCTGCAGTGGAGCAGGCCTGACTCCCACACTCCTGCCTCCAACACCTCCCCGGGCCCTTCCCAGTCTCTGTGCAGCACCAAGCCTCACTCCCTCGTGACTGTGCCTGTGCTCGCGTGGGCAGTCAGTAAATACGGATGAAACGATTACTGTATTAGATGCTGCTCCATAAGCAATCCATTTCTGTATCATGCTCTTCTATTACTTGATTTGATGCTGCTTGTTATTTTCAAAGGACAAAATGAAAAATATTCTGAAGCCTGGATGTCTACGAAATACAAAAAGTAAGAATGAGTTCAAAGAATCCTCAAAACATGTCACCATCTCAGACATAACACTGACTTTGGAAGGTAAAAAATGTTTTCAAACTACCTTGACTCCAGTAGAAAGCGAAGCAAATATTTGCAAAGAGATGGGTGATAAAACCTCTGAAGACAAGACAACCGATTTTCAAAACCCAGCTCTAAAGACTTTAGAATCCAGGTATGTGAGACAGGAAAATGCCAAGGGTATACTTTAAAGTTAAATGCCTGTAACTCAGGCATTTGCCGCCAAAGATTCTCAAACAGATACAGTGTAATTGTGATAATATAGTCAACTCTTAATGATCCACATTTGGTTCCACCTTCGCTAATTTTTATTTTCATGCCAGCTTCTCACACCACTCAGTTGGCATTCTGGGCTGCTTGCCTGCTGTCAATTGTGTGTGCTTCAGAACATATGATAGAACCACAGTGTTTACATTTTGGAGTTGGAGCATTGATTTCTATAGTGATTGGAGTACTTTTTATCTTTATAATGCTCTGTATTTTCCTCCTCTCTATGTCCTCTATATATCCCTTATACATCTCCACATTTTCAACTAATAACTTAATCTGAAAAAATGATTTTCATAATTTCAGTAGCTTTATGGCAAGCTTGATTGCAAGTGAGCATTGTAGGGTTATAAAGATAAAAGTTAATCTGATCATTCTGGAGTAACAGCTAAAAAGAAACCAGATCCAAATGCTTATATTAATAAGAATGAAAATGAGGAATATAATGAACTATGTCTACATTTTTTAAATATATAAAAGGAATAGGGGGAAACAGGAAAAATTAACCCCAAAAAAGAAATTAACTTGAAATTTTTTAATAATTTGAAGTGATAAAAAAAAGCTTGCTTGATTCTTCAAAAAGAACAACAAAACTGGCAAACCTTTGGGACAGCTATTTTTTTTAAACGGTACAAGTGAAAACTTAAAAGGCATTACCACATCTAATAGGAAGACTAGAAAAATCTTACTGAGAAAGGTTATATATAGCTTTGCTTTAATAACTTGGAAACCCTAAATTAAGTAAAAGACTTTAATAAAAATGCAAAGAGGCAAAACCAGCACGTTCAGAAACTGAAAAAATGTAACAAAGAGCTCTCATTTTTTAAAAAAGTACATATTTCTGACTTTTACTGGACAGTTTTTCAGGTACTTTAAAAATTGTTTCTATATGTTTTCTTTTAAATATCAACATTTACAAAAAATATTGTGTTTTGTTTTCCTAATTTCATGAAGCAAATTAATTTGTCTGGATTGTAAAGCCAGACAAAGATAATACAAGAAAGAAAATTCTAAGTTAATCCTACTTGTGATAATAAATGCTAAATTCTTGGAGTCTTAGTAGGGAAAACATAGCAAGCTTAGTATAAAATTAAGGAAACTATTAATATCAATCATTATATAAATATGGAAGAGCAGAAAAACCATGATACTTTAAACACATTTTATAAATTTTGATATTCTTAATCACAGAAAAGATCCATGTAATAAAGAGTTTTCCTTTAGCACAATAAAGAATATTTACTCAACCAGAGCCAACATTATTTTTAATGAAGACATTCTAGAAGTGTTCTACTTAAAACTTAGAGTTAAGAATGTTCCCATTAACATTTCTATGTAATATAATTTTATTTAATTTTATTTAATAAGAGGTTCTAGCAATTATAATAGGATAAAGAAATACCAAGAAAAAATATAATGGACTTTTAAGAAGCCACTCTTTGCAAATGGTAATTCACATTTGGAAAATTTGAGACTCCACGAAATATTAATCTGTAAACAAGTTTAGGAATGTTACAGATTGTAAGATAAACTCACAAAAAACAATTTTGTTTAATTAACAAACCAAAAGTATATTGAAAAAAAAAGAATTTATTTTTCAATAGTAACAACAACAAAAATCAAATATTTAGTGAGGGTGATAAGAGACCTATTTAAATGGAATTATAAAACTTTAGTGACAGAAATAAAGGACAACTTGAATAAGGAAAAAAAGGCTCTCCTGGGTCAGTAGATTTAAGACAGCAAAAATGACAAGACCTCCTAAATTCATTTATATATTTAATACATTATCAATTAACATCTCAATAGGATATCTCATAGAAATAATAAAACTGTAAAAAAATTATGCAGAAGAGATAGGAGTAAGAATCTCAAGAAAACTACTGGGATGGAAAATGTCTAGAGGGGACTTGGTCCTATAAAATCTTAAGCCATGTCATAATTAAATGGCCATCAGAACTGCCAGTGTGAAATTTAGAATATAGAAATAAAGCTACAAAAATAGATTCAAACTGGTATGAGTTCAAAAGAAGCAGGGAAAAAGCTAAATTCTAGAAAATGGTCAAAGATGTTTGTATATCACAAAAACATTTCTGGTGGGAAAAAGTAAATTATTTTCTAGAAATAAGCTAGAAGGAAATGGAATGGTAATATTGTCTCAGTTACAGAGAAAAGATCATTTCTTATCCACTTAAGCAACAAAAGTAATTTTCAATGGCAAAGTTTGATTCATTGACTCAATATTTACTGAGCACCTCCTATGCACTAGGCACTGGGGACACAGCAGTGAAAATAATCAAATCCCTATCTCATAAAGTGTTTATTCTAGTGGGGGAGATAGATAATGAACAAATAAATTATGCCAGCTAGAATGTACTGTGATGAAAATTCAAAACAAAAATAGAAAATAGAGAGTGATTTGAGGAGAACAGAAGGGATATTTTATACAGGTGGGCTCTCTGAGAAAGGAACATTTGAGCAGAAACCTGAGGAAGTATGCAGCTCTGGGGGAATCCAGTTCCAAGTTGATTGATTGCATAACAATTACAAATATCTGCCAAATAAATCATTTTAAATAAATAAACACAAATGTACAACGGACTGGGAAAGAAAGAATAATAGATAACCTTTATATATATGTAGCAGATGGAAATTTGTAAAGGATCCAATTAACAAATGGGTTAAGGACATAAATAGAAAATATACTCCAGAAGACAAATACTTGAAGAAGGATCAACCTCATTAATAATTAAAGAAATGCAAGTTAAACAATTACCAGTTGGCTTTTCACTGGGTGTCAGTAACACTCATGGTGTCACTGTAAATGGTTGGCAATTCACAGCACAAATAATGATACTCCTTGATTTATAGGAACACACGTCAAAGAAATAATTCAAAGGGGAAAATAACTCATTGAATATAACATTTCATAGTTAAGATGTGTAGGTAATTCAAATGACCACTGGTGGGAGAATGGCTAAACCAGGAAACAGTATATTAATTTAGTGAAACGGCAGATCCCCATTAGAAAAGCAACAGGCAGAATTTCAATGAAAAGGGCTACATGACTAATAAGGAATTATGAACTAGAAAAAATAAAATTTCAAAAAATGTAAATACAATGGTTTTTTACTTCTACAGTCTGGGAAGAAACCACAATTTGGGCATAGTTGGTGATTAAAGGAATTGATAACTGTTGTAGATAATGGATAGATGTCTGTATTAAACTTTTATTATATAATTGATTACATATATAATTTAAAAACTAAACTGATGTTAGGATACATTAATTGGGAGACAGTTTAACACAGCAGCTAGAGAATGAGCTTTCTAGTCATATCCCTGGGTTTAAATGCTGGCTTCTTTCTCTTACTAGCTCTATGATGTTGGGCAAGTTACTTAACTTCTTCTACTCTGTTTCCTCATTTGTATAGTGGGAATAAATACCTACCATTTGTAGCTGCTGTAGGGATTAAATAGCTGATATTAAAAAGTTCACAATGCCAGGCACGTGGTATTAATAATTGTTTTTTTAAAAAAGAATATACAGATAAAATATAGGGAGGGAGGAAAGAAAGTAGAAGAAGCGAGAAAGGCAGGCAAGAAGGAAGGGAAGGAAGGAGGAGGGTAGGTTCAGATTCTAGATTAAATGGAACGAAAAAATCTAATGTAGATTTGACTCAGACTGAATATAGTACAAAGATGGTTTATACTGTAGGACCTTCCAGGACTTCTGAAGTAATCTTTCCACTATACTATCCAATAAACTGAACTGAGAGAAGAGCTGGAAAAAAAAAAAAAAAGCACAAAACTGGTTAGATATTTTTAATGTAGTAAAAAAAAATGTTTTGGAGTGACAGGAGAATGTTAATAGGTGATAATGATTCCAATGTATGAGGAAGTCCACAGAAGGCTAAATTTAAAAAGTGGATTTAAAAGTAAAAATTAAGGCCGAGGCGGGCGGATCTTTTGAGCTTAGGAGTTCGAGACCAGCCTGAGCAACAGCGAGACCCCCGTCTCTACTAAAAGTAGAAAGAAATTAACTGGACAACTAAAAATATATAGAAAAAATTATCCAGGCATGGTGGTGCATGCCTGTAGTCCCAGCTACTCGGGAGGCTGAGACAGTAGGATCACTTGAGCCCAGGAGTTTGAGGTTGCTGTGAGCTAGGCTGATGCCATGGCACTCTAGCCTGGGCAACAGAGTGAGACTCTGTCTCAAAAAAAAAATAAAAGTAAAAATTATTTTAACTAAACATGAAGGAAAAATTTATTATAAAGTAATATAGCAATCAACTAATCAATTAAAAAATAAAAATAAATACATATCATTGATTAGATATTGATAAACAACAGAATCAGTTTCTGTAGGTTATAGAGTCTGTCCCTGGACACTTCTCAAAAATGAACATTAAACCATTTGTCCTGGATACATGTTAGACATTCTCTGGCCAGATAGACCCCTTCCTATTTATTATGTAACCTTAATCACTGGGAAGACCTGCTGCTAAAATGAATAATAGAAGGAATGCTAAAGTCAAATATAAATGTGCTCTAGGGAATTCCTTAAAGTAATATGGTGAAATGGAAATAGTAAACATACCTGGTATGTTGCAGGATTCCCAGAAGCAGAGTGACAAAAGTATATAATGGGCTTGGAACATATTAGGTGCTCAGTAAATGATCACTATGGTCACTAATAATTCATTTACAATAGTGTAGATTAAAAAAAGTTGACTATTCCGTCAAAAAATGTGTCTTACTCAAACATATCTTAATCAACTGAGGATTAATTAATTATTCAAAACTGGCTTTTTAAAAAAATCATCTTTCCTAGGAAAGTGTAGGCCAAGGGAAGCAAATGAAGATGGGTGATCCTTAGGAGAGCCACAGACCTTGAAATCAGAGTAATGTTTGCTTTAGTTCCTGAGCACTGCATTTCTCACAGTTCCAGAGCCTCTAGATCCAACTGCCAAGACACTCAAAGTGTTGGATCTTGATTGCTCAAAAGTAAACGTCTTTTGATATTTAAGATTCCCAACCCAGTGGTTCTCAAAGAGTGGCTACTGGACCAGCAGCAGCTGCAGCATCACCTGGAAACTTGTTAGAGATGTAAATTCTTGGGCTCCTTCCCATCTTACTGAATCATAAACTCCAGGGATGGGACATAAAATTCTGTTCTAATAGACCTCCAAGTGATTCTAGTGCACACTCAAGTTTGAGAACCATTGACTTATGACAAGCCAGTCTCATAAAGAAAGGGGGTTAGCAAGGATTGATTCCTCTCTCATGAGGGCTTCTCCTGAGGCCCCAGAGTCAAAATAGGGATTCTACTTCATAGCCATAGCAAAAACTATCTGCTCAAACTCCAGAGCTCCTTCTTCAGGAATCTTTCCTATATGGCAAGGAGCTCAAAAGAGAACAAAAATGTGCCCCAGTGTGGGGATTGCTGTTATGACCCACACAAATTTTCCTGCTTCCTACTGAGGGCACAGAAGTCACTGAAATAAATAAATTTCCCCACAGAACACTGATCTATTATTTCTTGATGGTAACCACTGAATTATTTCAGTGGAACTAAACAAAGACCAGAAGGGTTACTGGTAAGTCTTATGTGTTAGAGGAGAAAGAACAAATATTTTAAAAAATAAAAAAATAGGACATAGAGTAAGGAAGGGAGAGAGAAACAGAAACCATGGGTTAGACATGGAGAAGGGAGAAAGGAACATAAGATGCAGAGGGATAGATGCAGGTGCTGCTCAGTGGGAAATGTACTTTTTGCTACTATACACGAACATGGCTTTAAAAGAAAAGCCTAAGATATCTTTAAAAAAAATGAGATAAAATGAATCATCTAATTTAGCAATTTGTCCTAAATAATAATTGATCAGGTCTGGTCACCCTGATGTCTTCCTAATGTTTTATTTCATTCTTAGGTCTCAAATCCATTGCCCCCACCCCTGTCTAACACTTCAGAAACACACCACAAATCAAAATCTTACAAGGTCAACTATTTAAATCATTTTAGCTTCTTCTTTCCTTGTCCAAAGGGAATGTCCTGAACCATTAGATTAGCTTTTAATGCCTTTTTAAAAATTTATGAAAAATAATTAATAAACTTAATTTTTAGGTAGGGCTGTGTATAGGGGAAGTTAGAAAAAAATTTTTTAAAAAGCTTTATTTCTTAGCACAGTTTTAGATTTACAGAATAATTGGGCAAATAGTACATAGAGTTCCATATAACCATCCCACTCCCCCCACCCCAGTGTCCCCTGTTTTGTTGTACATGTGGTACATTTATTACAATCAATGAACCAATCCTGACACATTATTATTAACTAAGTCCATAGTTTACATTAAGGTTCATTCTTTGGGTTGTACAGTTCTATTGAGTTTTGACGAATGCACAATAACATGTATCCACCATTACATTTTCGTGCAGAATAATTTCATTGCCCTAAAAATCCCCTCATCATTAGACTAGCTCTTAACTGCTTTTTAAAATATTAAAAATTATAAAACTGAATGAAATCGTGTCTTTTCTGCAACATGGATGTAACTGGAGGCCATCATCTTAAGTGAAACAAGTGGGCACTACATAATGCGTGCACATGGAAGCAGAGTGTGGAATGACGGACAATGGAGACTCAGGGGTGGGGGGTGGAGGAGGTGGGTAATGGGATGTTGCTTGATGGGTATGATGTATGTTGCTCTAGTGATGGAAGCACTGAAGGCCCTGACTTCAACACAATGCAATCAATGTAGCAAAATTGCACTTGTACCCCATGAATATATACAAATAAAAAATAAATGGAGGGAAAATATTTAAAATGATAGGGATAACCTAAATTTTTAGAATGAAAAAGGTTTTGCAGGTGCTAAATTTTGTTAGTCTCATTATTTTGCTATTAGAAATGATGAGAAAATGAATCCCTAAATAAATACCAAAAATCATAGAATTTTAAAGATATAAAAGATCTTGAAAATTAGCAAATCTCAAATTCTTCAAGGCCTTGCCCCTCCCTTCCTTCAGCTTCCTGTGCCATTTGTCTACTGACTCTCCTGGAGAGAAATAAATAGGTGAAGAAAAACCAAACAAACAAATTGTGGTTATAAGTAATCCTCTTAGGCCCAATTTAATTGAGCATGGCTTTCTTTTTATTGCCTGTTTGCATCAGGATCATAATTACTAGCTAGTGTCTAATTTGAGAATGTTGATTATGAAAGAAAGATGTAATATTCCAAGAACAACATGAAATTCACTGATGCTCTATTCCAGGGACATTATAGGATTTAGGATTGTGAGGTTGATAAATAAGTTCTATATATTATTTTTCTTCTCCAAGACTATGAATTTCAGTGACATTTTATAGCTATGTACTTTAGAACAGGAAAAAAAAAGAAACAATGACCTTGTTGAATATTCTGCCCTCAGATTCACTAATCTTCAAAATGTAAATTGAGCACTTTAAATCTAGATGAGTGAAAGCCTATGGAGACTTAAACATTTCTATACTGTCACTATAGGTCCTTTAGAAATGAAGGATTTACTTTATAAAGCATTTATAAAGCATTTTAAAGCATTTATTGACAAGAGTGGTACCATGACTCTTCCCTTTGTCTTAAAAAGGTTAATGGCAGGCTTCATTTTAATTTGCACCTATTTTTTAACACACATGATATTTCTCAGCCTCTTGAAAACTTATCATTAAGCTCAACCTTCATTTAAATCACCAGATCTATTAGGTAAAGGCTATATGAATATTTATTTGCAAACTCTTCAGAAAATTACTATTTTAACATTTACCTCCTGAAACATCCACTGTAGAACTTGCACTGGGTATATTTGCCATATCCCTTAAAATGGATCATAAGTATGTCTTTGTACATTTATCTTGGAAGGTAACATCTAAGGGCATAATTATTCTTCTCAAACTCTTTGTTTTACTCAAATAGCAATATTTTCAAAATATTTATTGAAAGCATGTCCAAGAAATGAAGATCTGGTGAAAATTAAGTGAGTTTATTTCATAGCATGCCAATGAAGTTAGAAAATATTTCATCATTGTTATTAATCTTTAAAAATCAGGAGTACAGAAAATAAGCTGCTTTATCCAAAGACATTTCTGAAAATGACCTGTTTTTTTTGTTTGTTTGTTTTTTGAGACTGAGTCTCACTCTGTTGCCCTGGCTAGAGTGAGTGCCGTGGCATTAGCCTAGCTCACAGCAACCTCAACTCCTGGGCTCAAGCGATCCTACTGCCTCAGCCTCCCGAGTAGCTGGGACTACAGGCATATGCCACCATGCCCGGCTAATTTTTTTTTTTTTAATATATATTTTTAGTTGTCCAGATAATTTCTTTCTATTTTTTTAGTAAAGACGGGGTCTTGCTCTTGCTCAGGCTGGTCTTGAACTCCTGAGCTCAAACAATCCGCCCGCCTCGGCCTCCCAAAGTGCTAGGATTACAGGCGTGAGCCACCACGCCTGGCCCTGAAAATGAAATAGCCTAAAAAACTACCAGCCTCCTTTTGCCCAACAAATCATACAAAATGTTAATAAATGTAAACAAGGTATGTTATTTGCCTGCAAGATTCCCAAACACTGTCACCCCCAATAAGGCCATTAGAGATAGTGGTGAAGAAGCTAGCAGAACTTGGCAACTTCTCCTAACCCATCCATTCTGGAATTTATCCCCAGTTCTCTATGAGACCCTGTATTTCCAACACAATTGATCCTATTTACTTAAGCCACTGAGCTGCCACAGTTAACTTCTCTCAGTCTTGGCCCCAGGGGAAGGGTAGGGAGGCAGCAGGGCTGGGGATGCCAGCAACTTCATTGAGTGACTGGTGATAAATATAACATATAAAAATAGATTATATATTATTACATACAATTCACTTTTATGACTTTTACAGATTGAATAGCCTGCATGTTACAGACATTTACATAATTTTACTCTCAAGTGTATTATAATCAATAATAGCATAGGCTTGCTATGCATATTTCATTACTACACACAAAGCATTTGGAGAATGACCAGTTATCTCATACCTAGTAAATCTTTTCTAAATATTTGCGGTTACACTGGCAAATTTTTGAAATGTGCTATTTATTTTTACAGGAGCATGAGAATTGATTCAGACACTTCAGGTATGGAACAAATTCCACTACATGCTTTATTGTGATCCCTGGTATCCAGTAGTTATCTCTGGTTCCTGGAAGATTAGAGTAGTTAAGAGCAAAGGAATTCAGCTAGACTTTTTATGCATTCCCTTTCCTCACTTTGCTCCATTCTGAGAGCCCTACACTGGAGAAACTCTTCCTCAAAGCCTATCCTCAGACTTTTAAGTGGAAGTCATTACAGTACTTCACTACTTCACTTTTCTTTTTCTGCATTGGTAAAGTTTGGTTTCTCAGTTCCCTGAATCTAACTCACAGTGCATGAACCACTCCCAGGCTAGTTCTGCAGGCAGAATCCAAACTACAGCAATAACAGCACCTCCCATCCTTGCTGATAAGTAAGGGAATGGTTCACAACTAAATTTTTAGTAAATCTAAAATCATCCAGCTCCTCTTTTCTTTCTGTTTACATCTTTAGCCTTTGCCTTACTATCAGATGATACTATTTAATGGGTTTGGAGGGAGAGGACAGTTTTTTCTTTACATATTCCTATGTCTAAGAATCTTTAACTTATATTAATAACAACAAACTTGCTGTGGAGGTTTTCTTACAGGAAGCTGTGAGATCTCCCTTTGCTGATTGCTGACCCACCTCTAAATGACTTTCAAACCTGGGAGATGGAATAGGCCTCAGCTTCAGTCATGCACACAAAAGAGTATTATGGAAGGAACATAGAAGAACATTTAACTTGGCTTAAGTGGAGAGAAAAAAAAGTACTACTACTTCAAAAAGCAAGAATGCTTGAAGGCATTTTTGGTCACATTTACAAGAGTCAATCCTATTAAAAAAAAAAAGCAAATTATTAGAGGATAGGTTTTTACACAAAGGAGATTTGTCTTTGGGCCTTCCCATTGGGCTTTGGTGTCCAAAAGTACAAGAACTTCACTGTAATGTGGTTTGGCCTATATTCTAATCTATAGTATTGAACCTGAGAACATTGTAGGGAAATGCAATTGAAGTTTATAAGAAAAATGCAAAATCTCCTTTGCAGTTTATAGAATTTTAGTCTATCAATTTCTACCCCAAATTGTATTTCATAAAGAAATCCAACTAAATTTGTAGAAATTTCAGAGATATTCAGTAAAGGCAAATATTTTCCTCTTATTCACTAAAAGCAAGGGTAAATCTATTGGCAGCCTTATTACTAATATTGTATATAATTAGTAGATTCTAGGTACATTCTGGGGCACTCATTTATTTAGCCACAGAAGTTACAAATTAATGTAGGGAATTGATACTGTTATCTTCATATGTATGGGACTAATTCTTTTACCTGTTTTCTGGCACAGACTCAATTTTGTTCAATAGAACAAGCATTTGATTCCATTCTATCATATATAAAGCACTGTGGTAGGCTCTGGGAGAGAGAAAAAACATAGTAGGACATAGCCTTGAGACATAAGCACAAATAATATAAACCAGAACGTCATATGTACTTTAAGAGAAAAGTACAGAATCATTTTTAGCTCAAGAGAGGAAATTATGAAAGACTCTAGGAAAGAGGCAATCTTTGAGTTGGGAAAGAGGAAACAAGGATATCCTGGATATAGGGAATAGTGTAAACAAAATCAAACAAAAGGAAAAGTGCTGCACATATTCAATTTAGGAGTAGTGAGAGATGTAGCTGGAAAGCAAGGCAGGAGCCAGATTATGGAAATCTTGGATCATGCTAAGAAGTTTGAATACAATGGTTAGATAGCTACAGAGGAGCCACTGTAAGACAGGGAAATGACAAAATTACTGTTACGTTTTAGCATGATTATTCTGACCGCAGTCTCCAAGAGAAGCTGGAGGAGGCTCAAGGTAGGGAGACCTGTTAGGAAGGTATTCTAATAGTCCAGGTAAAGGGTGCTCAAGCCTTGAACCACACAAGAAGCAGTCAGAATGGAAATAAGAACATGAATAAATAATCAACAAGAATTATTGACTGACTTCCTGTGAGGACCACAGGGAAAAAATGGGATAACAGTTTGGGAGACAACATGACTAGGAGGTAGTTAGTCCATGAAACAAGCTGGGAAAAGGAGTTGGAAAAAATAGGAAGGAAAAGATGAAGAAATCTGGTATTAAACACTGAAGTTAGAATGCAATGCCCTAAATTTGAGTTCTAACTGTACTTCCTCTATTACATGGCCACTAATCTCTCTGGGCCTCAGTTTCCTCAACTATAAAATGTGTGTGCATATGGCTATGGCTGGGGCTGGGGGATGAGGAGGGCATGATTAGCTGTCTCAAGACCCTTTTAGCAGTTATGATTCCATAAACTGGTATGTTTGTGGTCCTGAAGGCCCATCTTTGTAAATCTAGCAGGAAGCTTGAAATGGGGTTCTGGAAATCAGGAGCTAAGCACAGATATAGCAAATGAGCACCAAAATTCCACTCTGAGCTTATTAAATCACAAGGACGGTACAATATACAAAATGGGCATGCAGTTTTCCACAAGGTATTAATTATTTTCCATGTTTGTTTTCTTTCACATACTTTCTCATTTCCTTCCACTTTCTCTCCCATGTCTTCCCATTTTTTTCCTTACTTAGGCTTATATAGTTTTTCGGTTTTCCCCCTGATTAGTATTTCTTTCCCCCTTTTCACTCTCCTCTAAATCACTTTTCTTTCTTTGATGTACTCTTACACTCAACATTCTTTACCCCAAGAAAAGCAGACTAGTCGAATCTTAATCCCTCGTTTCATTAAATTTAGTGTGAATGTAGACTAAAAATGAGTCTGTAATTCTAATTTCTATTCTAGACAGGAGTCAGAATAATAAATGTTCCCCACTGTAGTAAAACAAATTGCTAGTACTATTAAGCTTGTCTGGTTCACGTTCACCCAGCTCCTGGACAAATGGTAGTTGGAGACTATGATCTCTAATTCATCTCTAAAACTTCTAAGTACTTTGAAAGAATTACACTTTTTCTCCTTTTTACATAAGGTTTTGGGTAAAATAGCACTTCAGAGGCGCTGTTTTTATGACAAGGTTATGCATGAGGCAAGGCCCAGGCTAAACTTGTCTCTCTGGACCTGAGTCCATCTCTCTCTTTCTTTGCTTTTAATTTCTCACCATTCTAGGCTTTCTTCTCCTTAACTTTTCTGATTTCTTTACAGTGAGCCCAAATGATAGGCTTATCTATGATCCTATGGTATTTTTCCAAGATGGAAAGAAATGAGACAAAGGATAGAGATTAGAGAAAAGAAGAGCAGGGAAAGTAGTTAATGAAATATTGGGAGTTTCCTTCCCACCTCCACCCATCTTTCTTTTCCACTTTCCTCTTAAATATTACAAATCAAATTCCTTGAAATCCTAAGCAGCCAGGTTCATTCCCTGTTTATGAAACCCGGGCGAAAAGAAAAGAGGAGGGAGGCCCCTAAAAGGGAATCTGTTTGTGAAATTAAACAATGAGTTCTATTGGAAAGAATAAAGATATTTTTGATGAGGTGGTTAGAACATAATTTGAATTTAAGACCCAAATTAAGTTCTCTTTCCTTCTGTGCCTTTTTTCTCTCCTGCTTTTGGTTTTTTTCTTTCTTTCTCACTTCGTCTCTGTCTAATGAACTCTTTTCTACTTTCCCCCACTCTTTTTCTTTCTTCCCTCGCTCTCTCCCCTCATATCAAATCTTCTTCTAATTTCCTCAATGTTGTACCTCATCTGTCTCCCCCTTTCTCAGGGGAACGGATGGGAGGAAAGGAAAGTAAAACAGAAAAAGATAAAGTCGATGGAAAAACAAGACAACCTAAAGGTAACTTTTAAAAATTATGGGTCTCTATAGATATAAATGATAGCTATGATGCTTTCACAAAAAGTTGTTAATAAATTGAATTTTTTAACATTAACTCTTGTCATTTCTATTGTATTAAATAGTAACAACAGAAGTGGAATGTAATGTTGAGGGGTTTGTTGTGGTTTCTGCTCTAGAATCAATCATGGGTCAAAAGGTAACATCAGCACAGGGAGGAGAAGAGGGCACTTTGGGTGAGGCACTAGAAAAGAATCATGTGCTGCTGCTATTCCAGTGATTCCTCTCATTCTCATTTCTACACTTCTTTGCTCCCTTATCATGATCTTTGCCAACCTGCTTTCTTAGATTAGCCAACAGAGCCAAGACCTCTTTTATATCAAAATAATATAAATATTTATAGAGCACCTATAGGGCTGTCCTATACAGTTGTATAGCTTGTACACTGCACAGTGTTGGGTGCACCATTCACACTGCAGTTGATGTGCAATCATAACCTGCACAGCTTTTTGTGGTGGCTCTGGCCTACTGTATCCTACATTTCTTTGAAACACCAGATTTACGGTGAGTTGCTAAAGAATAAAACTTTTCTCAGCCATGGTAAAAACACCCAGGGTCATAGAAAGAGTAGAAGCAATGCAACTTTAGGGCCATTGTGTCTTCCGTTGCCTCCTCTGTGATAGCTAATGGGGTGTGTGTGTGTGTGTGTGTGTGTGTGTGTGTGTGTGTTTAAGGGCTCAGTTCACAGAATTGAAGGGAAGATTGGTGAACCAGAGGTGGCCTTGTCAGGAACCTCTTGCCTATCTTGTCAGGGCTTTGCTGATGGAATTGAAGTGCCTACTCTTCTGTCCACCCTTTTGTCACTCTGCCACTAAAGCCAGCTTAGCACTTAAGCACTTAGTTTATTAACAGGCCCCACTATGATGCACACAGTTGGGGAGAGGCAATGCACTAGAAGAGAACAATATGGCCAAAAACCAACCAATGTCCGCACACAATAATTCCCTGGTCTCCACATACATTCCTTGTTATGTACCTGTTCTTTTGTCATTTCTTTCCCCCCTTAAGGATGTTCTTAGTATTCTCTTTAACTTGTTCTGTGGTGGTGGAGAACAGTGATGGAGTGGCACAGAGGGTGACATGTACTGGTTCTTGTATCCACCTAGGGAGATTCCCAAGCCCTGCCATCTCTCAGTGTAGTATAAAATTTGGAGCGGGAAATTCCTTTAAAGACAACCCAATATTTTACAATGATTTCATCCTTTGATTGATATATTCTATAGCAGCAAAATTTCAAATATTAGGGTCTCATTAAGAGAGATCTGCAAATGCTAAGAATGGCAAAAAAAAAAAAAGGATACATATACCATACTTAAATTTTGACTTCTAAAATTGAAAAAGTAGCTCCTAAATATTTACATTGTGAATTGGTGATATATGGGCAAATATAGATTTTTTTAATGGTGAGAAAATTTGTTTCTAATAAAG